CAGATTAACAGAACTAAACACCGCCTTGTTTCACACCACATGATTTAATCCCAATGACATCTTGTACCGAAGAGACGGGAACAGCTCAGAATTACAGTAATCCCATCCCATTTCTCAAGATGATACTTGAATCAGGAGATTCCTGACACAAGGTTTATAATAGAAGTAGCAGAATATTCACTGGCCTCATTTTCCTGCCTATGCAGGCCAGAGATTTGCTGGCCACTGCAGTCCTTGCCATGAACAAAAGATGTACAGTATAAATCCAAAGTAGTGAATTGTTCTAGCCAAAGTGTTGATGCAATTATTTTCCAGGCTGCATATATTTTAACAATGATTTTAAGAGATGGCTTTCATCCAAAACAAATAGCAGGATTAAATCAACATGAAATGATCAATTCTTACAATATTGACATGAAGCATGACCTTTGTGTATGCTGCTGATCCATCTTATCAGCAAATTCTGTTCTTCTATTTTATAGATAATTCCAAGATTGGCATGTGAACTAGTTGGATCAACTTAAATACAAATACAAAGAAAACACCCTCCAGATCTTTAAAAATGTACACGAATTTAAAAGAAGGTTACAGGTGATCCCCGGACTGACAGAGAAAAACAAAGGAAAGGTGTTAAAAAAGCAGGTCACATTCTAAGCAGAACACGTCATAGTATGAAAAGAATGACCCATCTAGATTTCTTGAAAACAAGCTGGGAATCACCTGAAGCTATTTTTCATTATTTAGAAAAAGGAATCAGCAGATATGCATGCCTCACCCACAGCACACCTATGTATAAGGTTTCCTATGATGTCACATATGTGATTATCATTCTGAACTGACAGCATTTAATGTACATATGAATGAGAAGTGAATCACTTTGGTTATCACCCAGTACCAATTCAAATGTCTTTCAAGTTTAAACCACACACACATTCAGCTGAAAAATCTAGAGTTAAATGTGATGTAGGCAAGTGTTAATGCCAGCATATTAGTTAATCCACCTGGTCTTATGCATGTTTATTTTGAAGTCAGCCTTTCTTAACTCAATGGGATTCATTCCAGGTAAATGTGCATAATTCATATGTCACTAAGTTTCAAGAAATAAATATTCTTATCATTACTGCAAAATGCTCCCATATGTCCTCTAAGTATATGTCCAGGTGAACCAAACTTTTCCAAAGTGCAAATTATATACTGTATTTCAGCAACAAGAATTCTTACTTTTAAAGTTGGGGAGGTTGGGGGAGGGACTATAAGCAACCATCCAAGTTAAAAATTGCAGGCATTTTTTTTTTACATTTAATGGCAGGCCGCGTTTTGCCACATTATTTGGCACAAATCTATGAACATGGTATCTATTGTCAATGCTAAACCATGCATTGAATGCTGTTGTAGAAACTTATTCAACAGGAAGAATGAAGTAAAATGTTGGCATTTTACATTATATGACAAAGTAACATCTATGTTCATGTGTGTCAAATAAGAAGCATTGTTTTATACCTAATTAAGAATCTTGTTAAGATGTCTTGTTTGTAAACTGCAATTAACAATTAAGTTTTAAACTTGTATCAAAATATGGAATACATTTTACATTCTATTATGCCAAGCATAAAAGCTATATTTTCTAATCTAAATCAAAAATAAAGCATGATGCAAAATCTAAAAGTAGCTACACAGTTATACCAATAAACTTGATCAAAGCATTAATTATATTGCCATGAAAAGATAAACAAATCTTAATTACCGCTTACTATTTAGGATAATATATTCCTGTCCCAACCTTAACTTCCTATGCAATAAATGTGAATATTTTCCACTACAGTATATAAGTATATGAATCCTTATCATCTGAAGAAAAGGTATTATTCTCACACACAAAAACTACATTTTTCATAATGTCTGGTATTAGAATTGGGATACTACATTAAACACAAAGGGGGAGAACCCCTATTGACAGCTATAATCTAGGCAGACAGTTCACCTAATTTCTAAAAAGCGTTCTGCATCTTGCAGCATTTTGGTCGTATATACATGTTCACATCATGGAGGTTTCTGGCACAAAATGCTCCCTTGATTTTCCTTCTCACCTTTCCAAAAGAGATTTGGCCATTGTTCTTCATCCATTTATGAAGGAATGAAAAACATCTCATATTTCTCGTAGGAAATCTTGTATAATTCCCATACATGCAAATTTTATGAAGTCAACCTCTCAGTACACTTCCCCAGATCCTGATATTTCAGCCTACCCCAGGGCCAAAATTTCACAATAGATCAAAACATGGTTCTTCAGAGTTAGAATAAACACCACAATGCCTTTCATAATAATTCAGCTATAGAGCCTCTCCTCATTGGTCTCATGAACTTGGGAGTGGCTACCTACTTTTTCTATTTTTATCTTCTGCTTCTGTCACATACAGTACTTTCCTTTTTTTAACTTACACAATTACCTCCAGACCTTTATCTATCTTAACTTCCCCAATCAGCTGTATCCCTACAAAAATATTCAGGGTCAGATTCAAAATATCTACAATATTTTTTTTCTTCAGTACTACCTTTCATCTAATCTTATTTTATTTCATCTGTATCACAATCTATTCTAAACCTTATCCTTATAATTTCTTTCACCTCAATTATCTTAGCTATCATTTTAGGTTTTCTTCTATACTGCTCCAGCGACTCAGAGCAGATTTGTAATTAGGTAAATGTCTTTTCTTGTATAGCTTATTCCAATCATAGGACATCTGACCATACTTAGAACTATAGGGCAATCCTATCGTATACCATTGTTACAACTGGAGATTTTCAGTGTAACAAGAATATTTGCCGACTTATTACTAGAAGCCAATAAAATCACAGCCTTCTAAAATAACACAGTCTCTACTTCAGAAATCACAGCCTTCATTTCAAACTGAAGCTTTTATAACACAAATAGGTTCCTCTAAAATGAACAACATATAAGTATTAATAAAAGTGTTTTAATCTATTGAGGGCATCTGGCTTTAAACTTTTCCCTTATGAATAGCAGGCTATAGTTAGAATTTGCAATGGGTATTTTTATTGAAACCAATAATTTTTTAAAATCTGCCATTCCTAAAGACAGGCGTTTTATTAGCTAAATATGTTTAAATTACACATTTGAAAGCATCGTATAATCAATGCGCATGTGGTTAATACACCTTGATTGGATTAAAAGAGGTCTCATACATACCCAAAGATATGCAAAGTTCTTCAAATGAAGGGATCCAGTTTCACTACACATTTACACACACAAAAAACCAAAAACCTGCAATAATCCTTAACAGATTTGCAAGAGACCACAGAGTATACATAGGCTTCTCAGAGGGAGAAACACATCTTCGTCTTTCGGCTCTTGCAAGAAGTGACTTGTGAATTCTCCATAGTTCAGTGTATCAATAATTTACTACTATCTACCTTGTTAAGCGAAGTCATTTTAATGCATGGCTTCTTACTATAAAGGCCAGGAAGAGAAGAACTGACAAAGGCTGAGCCCCAGGAGGGAAGCGAAACAAAAATATTTCAAAAGATAATGGAAGGGAGTGGGTTTGAAGAAGATAAAGAGCCATTTGGGCACAGACCCCTGCTGCTTCCATAGAAGTGTCTCCTTTTCAATCTCGGAAGCTTTAAAAACTGCCTTTGCCACTGACTACTTGCATTTGCAGGGTGTTGGGGATCCAATTTCACCTTTTGTCCAGGGAGCTGGCCCTTGGTGGCAGTAACACAGCTATTAGCCTCCTTTGCAGCAAGGACAATACTCAAACTGTCATTAATATGCAACCACAAAGGCAGGGATAGACCATAATTACTAATCATCTGGCTCCCTCTGAACTGAAGCAAATTATCCAGGGTCAGGAAATGAGTTTTTTCAGGAAAGAAATGAACTTGTTAACTTAGATCCTTAAATTAGAAAAGTAAAATTATGCCTATCTGAAGCATATTTCCATTTACAATCCTGACGTTTTGTATCTACCCGTTTGCTATCGCAAATCTTTTTTTTTTTGCCTCTCAAATCTGTAGCTGGCTCTAAAGTATGGGTTATGTATGCACCGTGAGAATATTTTTCCAAAACAAGGCCTTCCTTTCCCACCTCTTTTATCAGCTATCATAAAGTGCCCAATTTGAGCCATACTTAAGATGGCTCACTTGCACTTGCGATGCAAAAAGAGAAATTGCAAACCTAGCCATGATTTAGTCCCAATAAACAGGTCGCTAAAATATCCGAGTACCGAGGCAGAGTTTTAATGCTTTTCATTAATTTTCATTCTGAAGAAAACTTGGTCAAACTTGGTTTTCAGGAGAAAGCACTAAACAATGAAACCTCGTTCCGGTTTTTGGTTTCACATTTAGTTAAACCTTCAGTTATTTACGACAACTGGGTGTTTTCCAATCAGCCGAAACTAGGTACGTGCAAAAAGATTCGGATTTCCGTCTAAACTCTTCAAGGTAGCACATATATATGTATATTTACCGAATCTTTGAAGGCAGACCGAAAGTATGCAGAATGCCCAGTTGCAAGCTTCTCCTTTGCCTCCCACCCTCGAAAGTATCTCTCTGCCCAGGAGGCAACAGGCTAAATCCAGGAGATCGTGTTTCAGCATTCATCGATGCTCTCATATGAAAGGGTACGGGAGGATCCCGGATCAAAAGTCAGTAAGCGGTCGTGAGAAAACGCACGTTCTGATCATGGAGAAACTTTCCTCTGTCCCCGTCCCGCCCCCACCTCTCAACGAAGGATGGGGAGAACCTCCGGCCAAGAGGTTCCTTATAAAATTGAGGCGCCGAAGCTGCTCTTCCATCAAGGCATTTTAAGAAGAGAAAGACGGAGTCTCTGGAGAAGCATCAAATACTAAACGAGGGAAGGAAGAGCTTTTAAAGTAGATGGAGGGAAACGGGGGGGGTAAAAAAAGGAAAGGGGGGGGAGAAAATCAGGAAGAAGGAAAAGAAAACGACAATATTCGGGGCAAATAGGAAATATTATCTACCTGCACAGTAACGACGCCCAACTCCTCCGCAGCTAGTTTTCTCATCTGAGTGGCCAAAACTTGCGCTTCATCCAGAATGGAAAACTCCGAGTCGGCGGCGCCGAATCTCCAGAAAAGTGCCATGCAGACGATCCACAGGGGCCGCTGTACGCCGCCGTCCCTTCTCCGGGGGAGAACCGAGCCGCCGGAGGAGTAGGGAGCTGGTCGGGCGGCCTCCTCCGACCCGGCTGGCCTGCTCGCCATGATGCTGGCGACGGCGGCTGCTGCTTTCCTGCCCCGAGCGCGGCTCACAAACTTTCCCCGACGCTTCCCAAACTTCGGTGCGGGGTTGAGGGCGGGCGGGAGGCAGAGAGGGAGGAGCAGGCGGCTGCTACGCCTCGGGGCTCCGGGGAGAGGCGGCCGAAAGCTCCATGCCGAGGCCGCCAATCACGAGTCCCGGGGACGCCTGCTTCCAAGGGAACGGCTCGGTTACTTCGAAGCGAGCGGCCGGGAAGCTTCCTCGTCGAGAGACGGGGCAGAGGGACGCTGCGCGCGCTCTCGCCTCTCGCTCGCGCTGCGTGCGGGGAGAGTGGGAGCTCCGCTTCGGCTGCCGATTGAAAACAGCGCTGGGGCTGCGGTGAGCGGCAAACTCCGGAGCTGAAAGAGGCTGAGGAAGCGTCAGGGCCGGGATCGGAGTCAGCCAGGGGGGAAAGGGAGGTGTCTGGTGCCACCAAGCTGCGCGTCGGCTCTTCTGCACAACAATGAGTGGGTTGGGAATGGCGAGGCCGGGCCAGCCTCGCGCGCTTGCTTCTTCCTCCTCACGGCTTTCGGAAACTTTCCCTCTCACCCAGCCGGCGGTTTGCAGAACCGGGTCTTCAAAGTCCCCCTCCCTCACCTGTTGAAACGAACATGTAACACCTTCCTTTGAAGAACTTTTCTTATAGTACTCCCCCCCCCCCGCACTCGCTTGCTCCGCCCAGGACTAGTTAGGATTTCATTCGGGCATTTGATGAAGTGATTTCCAGGGCGGCAGAGGTGTTGGCCTGCGCCGCGAAGCCCTCGAGGATTTGGTTCACCCTTTTCACGACGGGGAGAGTGGATTGTCTTGCACTGTAAACTTCTGCGGAGTACCGTCTGCTTTGTCAAATCCATGCAACCATGGTGAGGTTCACACAGCCGCACCGCATGTCGGCCAACGTGTTGTGCAAGATCAGCCCCTGTGATCAGTATGTGGTGACTATTCAGTACCCGGTGGTTAAGATGGTTAAGTGTGTGGGGGATGTACACAGCTTAAAAACAGTGAGATGAGAGATAAAGTAAAATTAGTGACTCAATAAGTAAACAAATGAGAAGCCAGAGGGAAATGAAATCTATAAGTTGCAGACAGTGATAATTACCTATGGTTAGGTGACTACTTCCAAAGCAGCTGATAGGTCACATCCATTAAAGTTGTAAAGCATATTATTGCATTATTACCTGATTAACTCATGAAAATGATTTAAATAATTCTGTTTAATCAATCAGATTAAATCTTCTAATAATGTGCTGAAAGTAATACTTTAATAAAATGATAATCCTTAAGGTACTGCAAGGCTAGGGAAAAACCTGTTGCTCACTAATAGCTCTAGTTTTTCTTCCAAGAGAAAAAAAATGCTAAGGGAATGAGTTCACAGTTGTTTGCTTCCTATCAATGAATGTAGTAGAAGCAAGAATAAAGGAGCTACCAGAGCCACCAGACACCAGGTAACACACATGTGCTAGTTGTTCCCGACTCTAGGGCGCGATGCTCATCTCCGTTTCAAAGCCAAAGAGCCAGCGCTGTCCAAAGACGTCTCTGTAGTCATGTGGCCGGCAAGACTAAAAGCCGAAGGCGCAGGGAATGCTGTTACCTTCCCACCAAAGATGGTTCCTATTTTTCTACTTGCATTTTTATATGCTTTCGAACTGCTAGGTTGGCAGAAGCTGGGACAAGTAACGGGAGCTCTCTCCATTACCGAGGTGCTAGGGATTTGAACCGCTAAACTGCCAACCTTTCTGATCGATAAGCTCATTGTCTTAGCCACTGAACCACCGCATCCCACTACCACCAGGATCATTTTAAGCACATTAAGATGGGATGAGGGAATTTGGTGAATGCTGACTCGATGAAATGCTATTGTCTCAGTGTATCCTGAGGTAGAGATGAGGAAAGGCCAAGTGTCTCTGCATTGATAGACAAGAATATTTGTAGGTCACAGTTGAACTGTGGGGTCCTTGGTGCTCTCTAAGCTTGGTGGCTTTCTTGTAGACATTTCATTACCAAACTAGGTTACATCATCAGTGTACTTAGTTCAGAGAGCACCAAGGATGCCACTGTCTCTTTATTAGAGACCTAGAAAGGATAAATTGTCCATACCAGCAATCATTGAGACCATCCTTGGCAGTGTAAAATGGAAGGAAGGCTGGGGTTTCCTTTGTTAACAACCTCTTGGGTAGAGAAGGAGAGCTTTGGTCAGAAAAGAGGATAATTGCTGTATAATGCTGTGACTCGAATAGAGAGTTTGATCAAAATCTTCAATCAATTAGTTAAAAAAAGCACCATTCACCCACTACTCCTTGAGAAAGAACCATTCTTTCATATAGAAAATCCAGCCTAGTGTTGGTCCCACTTGCCCTACCAACATAACTCAGAACAGGTGAGTTGATGAATGACACCAGAATGCCTAAAGCAGAAAATCTGCAGATGTTTAATAATAGCAACATAATGCCAGCAGTCCCAATCAGCATGGTCAGTTTTGAGGGATCCTGGGAGTTGTCATCTAGAAATAACTGGATGACCACAGATACTAAACGTCAAGTGGTATTTTGACATACATATCACTGAACTCATGAGCTTGACAGATACATGTATAGCTCTTAATAAATGCATATTTAACTGCACATTTCTTTTTAGAAGGTTGATGTTGTCAAATGTTCCAGTCTGCTGAGAAAACATGGACAAAGTCCAGCAAGGGAAATAAAGGAATATGGGTAAAAGTCTAACTGATTTAGCACCTCTCACTAATATGCTCTATGAGGGACGCGGTGGCTTGGTGGCTAAGATGCTGAGCTTGTTGATCAGAAAGGCCAGGCGGTTTGAATCCCTTCGACCACGTAATGGAGTAATGGAGTGAACTCCTGTTACTTGTTGCAGCTTCTGCCAACCTAGCAGTTCGAAAGCATGTAAAAACGCAAGTAGAAAAATAGGGACCACCTTTGGTGGGAAGGTAACAGAGTTCTGTGCACCTTTGGCGTTTAGTCATGCTGGCCACATGACCACAGAGACGTCTTCGGGCAGCGCTGGCTTTTCGGCTTTGAAACAGATGAGCATTACTTTGTATTATTGTCAGTAGCTTGCATTAATCTTGAGCAACTCTGCCAATATATCCGGCAAAGTCTCCTGAATTTCTTTGCTGACAGAGTTGTTCCAATTCTTGCAATCCAGATCTAGCAACTCCAACTTTTCTGAACAACCTGTTCAGCCTTCCTGCAAGTAAGCTTAAAGTAGTCTTCCCCAATATTCTGTGTACAAATATGCTTAGACCAACATTTTCCAGATTTCCTAGCCTGCATGATATTCCCAATTCTGGAAACTGGGAAAGGAAACTTGCCTATGGCTTTACAGCCGAGAGCATTCTTTCCAATAAACATGCACAGCTAAACTTTTTTTCCTCATGCAAACCACAGAGTTATGTAATTTCTAAGTATAGTATTTCAGATTGCAACATATCTGGGATACTCCATTGTACAATTAGAGGCTGAATGATGAAATTAAAACCACTAGCACTGTAGTGCTTATTCAGATGTAAGTATAATAAGATTTACTCCTAAGAAAGTGTCTGCATAGATAGGATTATGTTCTGATTCTAGCTACTACAAGCAATTCAGTTTCAACCAAAATCCATTAATATTATAAAGATAATTTCCCATATCTTAGACATTGAATGTTAATCTAATTATTCAGGAACAAGAGTTTATAGCACTTTTTTAGTCTAACGAATGTTATCAGAAACCTTAAGTTTTTATGAGCTACTGCTCACTTCCTCCGATGCAATTGATGAAGTGAGCTGTAACTCATCATCAAAATGATTAGCTTTTAATAAAAATGTGTTAGTCTGAAAACATGCTGACTTTGGATTTCCACATCTTGGTTTGCACCAGGATTGTTAAGCCTAGCCCATCTGGAAGACAGATGGGGGAGATCAGTTTAAGGTTTCATTCCTTTTTTTTAAGCATAGTTTTTTTTAAAACTATTAGAATACTTTGTGGCTGTTATTTCATAGATAAAGATTGACTTCACACATCATGTTAAGCAGGTATATATTTTACCTATATAACTGAACTTAATGGAGATTCACATAATATGCTAAGTCCAAAAAACATTAGGAAAGAATGCTCTATTATGTAATTTCAATTGATTGATTATTTCAAAAGAATCCTTCTGCTACTTGAGTAGAGGATGACTATAAGAACTTGCATATTCTGGACCATCAGACAGACAACTGATTCACGAGCCACTTTGTTCAAGTATAGTTATGAAGACATAAACTATCTTCACACACAAAAAAAAAACCCAGTTGACAGAGCCACAACTTATAGAATTGATTAATACTTTGAATCCATGCAATACATTGAGGGAGAACCTAGCCAACTTTATTTTAGCCAAAATATTATGCACTCTTGGTCTTCCAATCCAAGAATAACTTCAGGAAATGGGCAATTAACACCTTGCAGGAACCCAGATAGATAGAGTAAGAGGAGTAAATTGGACACATTTGTTATCTGACATTGCTCAGCAAGGAGACTTGCATGACAAAACAGCTGTCTTGCACTTAAGATACTATCATGGGCCAAAGACATTAAGTTTCAGGAATGTGATGTAAGTTCTTTTGTGCCAGATAAAATACTTGTCCTTTCCAAGAATTGTTATTCTGTGCAGTTGTGGAATAAATTTTATTTATTTCAAAGATAAGATATTTTTAAAAAAACGACAAAAAGACAAAAGGGACAAAAATTATAAACAAGACAAAAAGAAAAAGTAATATTAAAAATTATGCACAGCATATATGAAATCAACATTAAACATACACTATCCACCCTAGTAGAATGTTGATAAATATGTCTCAAATAAATCTAGTAAATTTCTCCTTGTGCAATAGGTCTACAAATAATTATAATCTTTCTCATCTATATTTCCTATATTTCCTATGTCACTATTTACATTCTTTAAAAATACATCAAATATAGGAATCTAATATCTACCAGTATCCTTGATTTGGTTCTTGTTATGTGCATTATTGCTATCCAATTCTGTATTTCATGTGTTTCTTCATTTCTCTACAGTCATGCAATCTTTAAACTCCATTAAAATAACAACAATGTAAACTGATAATTCATTCCTTCTCCAGTAAATAAGATTAGAATGCTTATCAGTTTTGCTCTGCAGGGCAAATCCTCTCCCAGATCTTTAGTTTCATAAGCTAATGAGAAAAGGAAATAGACTTATCCAA